CCCACCCCTTTCCCCCCCCCCCCCCGAATCTCTCTGTGACTTGCAGATGGCCCAGATACAGCTCCAAATTTATTTATTCATTTGGATAGTTATCTTTCTTTTCTCCCCAGCCCTAACCTGGATAGTCCAGGCTAGCCTGATCTCATCAGATCTTGGAAGCTAAGCAGGGTCGGCCATGGCTAGTAGGGAAGAGATTGGATTTATACCCTGCCCTTCCCTACCCAGAGGAGTCTCAGAGTGGCTTACAAACTCCTTTCCCTTCCCCCTCCCCACAACAGACACCCTGTGAGGTAGGTGGGGCTGAGAGAGCTCTGGCAAAAACTGCTCTTTTTCAAGAACAGCTGTGCCAGAACGATGGCTTGCCCAAGGTCATCCAGCAGGTGCAAGTGGAGGAGTGGGGAATCAAACCCAGTTCTCCCAGATTAGAGTCTGCGCACTTGGACTCTTGGAAGGGTGACCTCCACAGAATACCAGGGTCATGACACAGAGGCAGACAATGGCAAACTACCTCTGAAACATCTCTTGCCTAAAAAACCCCCACAAGTCTAGCTTGCCACCTATTAGTGCATAATGCTAAAAGAGCTAGAAGGTCTGCCTGCCAGACAATCTTATGATCTCCTGGCTGTACTGCACACAATGCCATATGATAACAATAACAATTATTTTCTCCCCATTGAGGACACAAAGAGCTTAGAACATAATGCTCGCGTCCTCCATTTTATCATCACAACAACCCCATAAGGCAGATTAGGGGGTAAGAGGGTGATTGGCCCAAAGTCCCCCAGTGAGTTTCCATGGCAGAGTGAGCAGAGTCAAACCTGGGCCTTTCAGATCCTACTTTAAACTCCTACATGTGGGTTGCCAATTCCAGGCTGGGAAATTTCTGGAGATTTGCAGGCGGACCGAGTACCTGAAAGGTTAGTTGCATACAAATTAAAGGACCAATGACTAAAAACTATAATTATACCTTACATAATATCAAAAATACATGTATGTATTAACAATTAGTTAAAAACAATTATGGGCTCGATTTTAGCCTCTATACAGAATAAAAGTGTACTATATACACAAGTGGAGTTCTGTTGAAAAAGAGGGAAATTATTTCTGATTATCCAATTCCTCTTTTTCTCAACAGAACTCCTTTTTTTGGTCCTTATTGTCTTACTATGGTATCATTGAGCCTATAAGTACAAATATTATTGATCACTGAAGGAGGCCACCTTGGCTGAAATGCGTCTGGTCACAAGAGGCCTCACTTGTCTATGCTGTACATTTTTATTCCATATGGAGGCTACAATCAGGCCTGATTGTATTTAATTAATTGTTAATAAATACATGAATTTTTTATATTATTTAATAAGGTATAATTATAGTTTTTAGTCACTGGCCCTTTACTTTGTATGCAACTAACCTTTCAGGTATTCGATTCATCTGTTAGGGTTAAGTCCCCCCCCCTTTTTTCCTCTTTCGATTTACAGGAAGAGCCTGAGAAAGGCGAGGTTTTGGGGAGGGAACTCAGTGAGGTACAGGGCCATCGAGTCCACCCTTGACAGCAGCCATTTTCTCCAGGGGATCTGATCTCTGTCATCCGGAGATCACCTCTAATTCCAGCGGATTTCCAGGCCCAAGATGTGGGATGTTAGAGACGCACAGGGTATTTTTTTAAATGTTCACTGGGGAAATCTTTATTCATTATTGGAATCCATATTACATTCATATAGTTATTGAAGATTACAGAACATAAGCCCAAATCACACTGAGTTAAATTAAGCCAGGAAAAGAGGCAAAAGCAAATAAATCCACACAAGCACAGAAGAGTACTTGACAGTACACTTGAAGCATTAACTGTAATTCATCAAATCGTGAACTGCTTGGCAACGCTTGGTCAATTAACTGTTTAGATCAGGGGTGGCCAAACTGTGGCATCATAATATTGGGGCCTATATTCATGATATAAATCAAAATAAAAACCCCAAACAAGACTGTTCCATTATTTTTGGTCCAGTTGTCGCGGAGTTGCATCACATTGGGGGAAAAGTTCGGCCATTGAGCCTCTGTTTTTAATTTAACGGAAAAAACAAATTATTTCATTCTACATTATAAAACACCATCTCTGGGAAATAACAGCTTCTTTTGCCTACAGTTTGAAACTTAAACTCATTTCAAAAACATTTAGTTGTCAAAAAACAAAACTGGCAACAGCCATTTTAAACTTTTTGAGTATGAGGACCCCTTTTTAACATTAAATTTTTTTTAGATCCCCCCACAATAGTGGCTGTACTACTAGTATCTGCTGATTGAAAAAATGACAAAAAGATCATAAGGACAATGCTTAGAAGAAGAGATTGGATTTATACCCCGCCCTTCACTTGGAGTCTCAGAGCGGCTTACAAACTCCTTTCCCCCTGTGAGGTGGGTGGGGCTGAGAGAACTCTGACACAAACTGCTCTTTTTCAAGGACAGCTGTGCCAGAGCTTGCGACTGACCCAAGGTCACATCAGCCGGTGCAAGTGGAGGAGTGGGGAATCAAACCCGGTTCTCCCAGATTAGAGTCCGCACACTTAACCACTACACCAAACTGGCGCATATATGAATTAACTCAACGGAAGCCTTTTGTGTGATTGGAAACTTGTCCCTATAGTGGAGCAGCAAATCAAAAAAGGAAGTTACTCTGCTTTTATGAAGTCCTTGCATGAAAAATAATTAACAGAAGAGGCATTCCTCCTCTGTCACGCAGGAGGGCATACAACATCTGAGAAGAGCCCCGCTTGCCAATATCCTCTAAAAACAAAGAATGCTTGTTTTCCCCATCAGAAATAACGAATGTCATACATCTGCAAACTAAGGAAATTAGATTAGTAAAACTCATTCCATTCACTAAGAAATCAGTCACCTCTCTATTTTGGATGTGGATGTGGGGCTGCAGAACGGCTGGGTTGTCGTGTCCCTGGTAGGCTGCAGTGCAGGGCTATTAGGCTTCTCTTCAGCTTGTTCAGTTGCAAACCGTAGGCAGACTTGGCTTCAATCGCAGCCATCAACCATAATACAGCAGGTTCACAAGTTTAGCTGAGAGTTATCAAGGAATGAGACACATGCCCTGACCTGGGATGGCCTGGGCAAGCCCGATCTCTGGCAAGTACTTGGATGGGCGACCTCCTTGGAATACCAGAGGTGGGGGCAGGCTTCACTTACCCACCTCTCTGAATATCCTCCTGGCCCCCGGTAGGGATCAGTCACCAGAGGTTGCCATGACTTCCAGGTGCACACACCCTCACACGCATGCACACACACACACACACGCGCACATATGAAAAAATACCAAAAAATACCAAAAAAACAAGGAATGAGACACACATGTGTGACTTAAACACCACGTCCCATCAAAAGAGCCTGTGCACTTTTTTATTTTTTTGAAGGCATCTCTTGCTGTGCCCAAGCACTTCTTGCACATGGATTCTCTCTTCATGAACAAAGTTCCCTTGGGGGGCACCATCCTTTTCTCACGAGCAAGCCAATCATACCGCTTTCTTTTCTGCGCTACTTCTCAGAGGCATTGCAAGGCTTGCTTCACTGGTCCATACTTTCCCACATTTAGGACAGGAATTTCCATTCTTCGAAACCGCTGGGATATAAGACATGAAAATTATTCAATCAAGAGTCTCAAAGCGGGCAGGGAGGCAGCACAAAGCCAACAGTATGAGCAGACAGGGCCGGGTGAGTGCCAACATTCCACAAGGAAAGCATAGAAACCTAGAATTCAGCTTTCTGAAAAACTTTTCATTTTTTAAAAATTATGTTTCTAGGCCTCGTGTTTTGTTATTGCTTTTGCCATAAAGTCACAACTGACGTATGGCAACCCCCTAGGGCAGTAATGGTGAACCTTTTAGGGACCGAGTGCCCAAACTGCGACCCAAAACCCACTTATTTATCACAAAGTGCCAACACGGCAATTTAACCTGAATACTGAGGTTTTACTTTAGGAAAAACAACTCATACATTAACTTAAGATGATCCAAACAAAGTAAGGAAAGCAATCCCAAATGCTTTCATTTACTTAAAATTATTTGGCAGAGAATTCGACACTTTAATGATGGCCTGGCTGGGGCGATGGCACGCGTGCCCACTGAGAGGGCTCTGAGTGCCACCACTGGCACCCGTGCCATAGGTTCGCCACCACTGCCCTAGATATTACTTTCTACCCCATTCCCATTGCAAGAGACAAGACTTCTGGAAACAGGCGAGTATAAACCAAAATAGCTACCTAGCTACCTCCAAGTAACTGAGAATCTATTTTATTTCTATTTCTGTAACTCTAAAGGAAACTTGAACGTATGCAAAGTGAGACTGAACCCTGGTATTCCTTGGTGGTCTCCCATCCAAGTCCTAGGGCTGACCCTGCTTAGCTTCTGAGACCTGACAAGATCTCATTGCCGGGACTTGTTACCCAAAGGGGTGGTCTCCTAATTATTTGGAGGAATTTAGCTCTTAAGGAGACCTTTTGCTTAGGGAGACGGGGTGACAGCGAGATCTCCACCATCTTTTATGGGGATTTTTCCCTTACAGAAAATCTCAGAAATAAACTAGGCTGTAGCTTAACCAAGAAAGGTTACTTTTCTTGAAAGAGAAAATAATAAAATAACATGCATACAGAAACAAATGCACACTGGGAAACACACACAGAGGCTAACAGAAATACAGGTTGGAGTGGGATGAAAAGAGATTGTTGGAAAAATTATATTTAACAGTCCAGAAGAGGCAAGGTCTGCGGAGAAGGCAACACAACGACTGAGCACCCACACACACTGCATGGGGCAGACTACGTCCAGTTATAGGGCAAAACGCTACCTGAGGGTATGGGGATGTGTTTGCCCCTCAAACCAATATTACAATGGGACTAAAGGTTTCCCTTGTTCGAAAGCTAGTCAAATCTGACTTTAGGGGGTGGTGCTCATCTCCCATTCCAAGCCAAAGAGCCAGCGCTGTCCAAAGACATTTCCGTGGTCATGTGGCCGGTGTGACTAAATGCCGAGGCGCACAGAATGCTATTACCTTCCCACTGAAGTGGTCCCTATTTATCTACTTGCAATTTCTTGCTTTTTAAAAAAATTATTATTATTATTATTTCCAAAGCATGTCAATCCATACTCTCGCCAATAACAAAGATACACCTTCATGAAAATGCAACTCAATAAGAATTATAAACTAAGTCAGAAGATATTACAGACCATAACGTTTTAACAGAAGGACCTTCTAAAAAGACATGAGTGTATTATTCCACAGAGTTAAGGGGGTAAAGGTTACTAATATCGTCTCTACTCGACAAACCTTGGTAATTCTGTCTCATAACGTTAGCCATTTGTGATAATGTAGGTTTGTGGGTAAGATATCATGCGAAGTGAGATAAGAGAATATTGGGAACCAAATTGATTCAAATTTGGAATTTATTGCCTGGGAAACCTGTGTCCTATGCATTTTCTCTGTAGGTTGGCAGGAACAATGGGATTAGCTGGAAGTAAAACAATGTGTTGGGAAACACTGAATGGGGGTTCCCAGGAACTGACAGCCGATTGTGCGTGAATGGAGCTAAGGATTGCTTGATGACCCGCTGTTGTTGGAAGGGAAAGCTGCCAGGGATGGCTGAAAGGTGTTAAGTGGTTTCATAATTATGGTAAACAAGTCAGGAAAAGTCAGGCCAGATGGGGAAATGCTTAGTTTAAGGTGAAACAATGTATTTTCCTGGAGACTCACTATTGCCATTGTGCATGGATTTAAGGTGGGGAGGACAAACCCATGACTTTACGTCTTCCAGAATTGCTGCCCCAGACATGTCTCTGGCCTGTGTTTGCTTGCATCCATTTTATGTGACATCAGAACCATTTTGCAGACCAGGCAGTGCCCAGAACAGGTGATTTTGGGGTTTATTTAAGATGAAGGGTGCTTGGATTTACTCCTTCTAGGTGCCAAACTCCCCTCAGCAGGAGGGTGTTTGTGTCTGGGGCTAACAGGCTATCCAGGTCAGGGTACAAAAATATACGTCAAAGTGAGCAAGCAATGCTTACTGAAAGAAACCAAAGGAATTTCAAGAAGGGGGGGGGGGAGAGTTGCCCTTGCCAATTCTATAAAGTCCTGTATCCAAAATGGATTTGCTATTAAGTAGAAATTTCATTCAGGGGGGCTATTGTACCAATTTTAGAAGATTTGGTATGTGTCTCACCTGTATGGTATCTTTTGTGTTTTCCTTTCACGCCAACCCTTTTCTGGCACTCTGGGCATTCCTTGGATTCCTCTTTCTTGTGGACTCTCTGGTGACTAATCAGGTGTGGCTGTTGAGTAAAAGGTTTCCCACACTCAAGGCATTTATACGGTTTCTCTCCAGTGTGGACTCTGTGGTGGTATATGAGGTGTGATCGTTGCCTAAAGTGTTTCCCGCACTCTAAGCAGTTGTAAGGTTTTTCACCTGTGTGGATTCTCTTGTGTGTTGTGAGAAGTGACTGGTGAGCAAAGGATTTCCCACATTCCAGGCAGTTTAACTGTTTCTTTTTTGTGTGGACTGTCTGGTGTATCACAAGGTGTGGGTGTTGGGAAAAACACTTTCCACATTCTGGACACTCATAAGGTCTCTCTCCTGTGTGGACTCGCAGATGCGTCATATAGTTTGATTGTTGAGTAAAACACTTCCCACACTCTGAGCACTTATAAGGTTTCTCACCTGTGTGGACTCGTAGGTGCATTGTGTGGTTGGCTTGCTGAGCAAAACACTTCCCACACTCTAAACATTTATATGGTTTCTCACCTGAGTGGACTCTCTGGTGTTTCACAAAAGCTGAACGGTAAGCAAACTTAGTCCTGCACTCCAGGCACTCATATGGTTTCTCTCCAGTGTGAACCTTCCTATGGTTTGCAAGATGCGACTGTCGCGCAAAACATTTCCCACATTCCAAACATTTAGCCCTCTTCTCCCCTGTGTGAACTGTATGGTGAATCACGAGCCGTGCATGGTTAGCAAAGCATTTCCCACACTTGAGGCATTCATACGGCTTCTCTCCTGTGTGGCTTCTCAGGTGTGTTGCAAAGTTTGATCTTTGAGAAAAACCTTTCCCGCACTGCTGGCATTTATATGGCTTTACTCCTGTGTGGATTCTCTGGTGTGTGGCAAAATTGGAATGCTGAGCAAAGGTTTTCCCACAGTCTAAGCACTTATAGGGTTTTTCTCCTGTGTGAAGCCTGTGGTGATTCACAAGGTATGACTGATGAGAAAAACATTTCCCACATTCCAGACATTTTGATTTTTTTTCTCCTGTGTGGACTATCCGGTGAATTAGAAGGTTTGCATGCTGAGCAAAGCGTTTGCCACACTCTAGGCATTCATAGGGCTTCTCTCCTGTGTGGAGTCTCTGGTGGTTCACAAGGGCAGAGCGATATGCAAAACATTTCCCACACTCTGCGCACTTGTAGGGTTTCTCTCCAGTGTGGACTCTATGGTGGATCACAAGGGTAGAGTTGTCAGCAAAACATTTCCCGCACTCCAAGCATTTATGGCGTTTCTCCCCCGTATGAATTTTCCGGTGTTTTGCAAGATGCGATTGCCGAGAAAAATATTTGCCACACACCAAGCATTCATAGGGTCTCTCTCCTGTGTGGATTCTCCGGTGACTGACAAGAGCTGAGCGGTATGCAAAACATTTCTCACATTCCGAACATTGGTAGGGTTTCTCTCCCGTGTGGACTCTCTGGTGACTCCTGAGGCCTGAGCGTTCACCAAAACATTTCCCACATTCTGCACAGGTAAAGGGCTTGACTCCTGTGTGGATCCGACTGTGGGTCATCAGATGACCTTGCTGAGTAAAACATTTCCCGCACTCCAAGCATTTGTAAGGTTTCTCTCCAGTGTGGGTTCTCTGGTGATTCACAAGGTAGGAGTGGGAACCAAAGCGCTTCTTGCATTTCAAGCACTGGTAGGGTTTCTCTCCTGTGTGGATTCTCTGGTGTTTCACAAAGCCTGAATGGTGAGCAAAACATTTCCCACACTCTGAACAATTGTAAGGTTTCTCGCCTGTGTGGGTTCTGTGGTGGCTCATGAGGTGAGGCTGTTGAGAGAAACATTTCCCACACACTGAGCATTTATAGGGTTTTTCTCCGGTGTGGATCCTATGATGGCTCTCAAGGTGTGATTGGCGAGCAAAAGATTTCTCACATCTCAAGCACTGATAGGGTTTCCCATCTGTGTTGACTCCCCGAAGGCGCACAGGCCGACTCCTTAAGTCATCTGTTGGGAAAAAGAACAGAAGATATTTTTCCTGAGCTTGGAATGGAAAGAACCTTGCCAAACAGAGTGATAAAAATGAAAAATGAACAGAGTGAAAAAAGAAAAAAAAGAATCCTTCAATAACTGAGATAAGATGCATTATCAAATGTCATTATCTTAAAACAACAGAGCTCCCTCGAGCACACGGGCTAAGCCTTTTTATATTGTGGCATCTCATTTGTGGAGCTCCCTGTGCAAGTCCACATGGCCAACATGCATGTGTGAGGTTAAGAAGAAGAGACGACTGGATTTATACCTCGCTCTTCACTTGGAGTCTCAGAGCGGCTGACAAACTCCTTTCCCTTCCCCTCCCCACAACAGACATCCTGTGAGATAGGTGGGGCTGAGAGAGCTCTTCCAGAACTGTCCTTGAGAGAACAGCTCTTATCAAAACTACGGCTTGCCCAAGGTCATCCAGCAGGTGCAAGTGGAGGAGTGGGGAATCAAACCCGGTTCTCCCAGATTAGCGTCTGCGCACTTAACCACTACACCAAACACCTCCAAATATGTTAAAAGGGTGCTATCCCACCTAGCTATGGGGCTTGTGTAAATATTGCAACTGAGAGGGTGTGGCTAATTTATTCATTTTATTTACTTATTCAGTTTTGCCCCTCTTTTCCTCCATGGAGTTCAAGGCCTATCACTGATTTTTTGTTGGTCACCTGGTTTACCATAACCCCTCACCTGAGCTGCTGCCAGAGATCTCCGTTTCACTAACGCCCAGGGTATCCGGCACCCATGGATCTTCCCCTCGTTCCAGCTGGGAGATGAGATCTGGCTTGGAGACCAAATGTCCTTCACAATGGACAAAGAGACTAGGTCAGCACAAATTTGCTATTTGGAGTAGATATATAGTTGTTCATTGATGTACCATCCTAAAAGATAACAAGGGGCTCCCTTTGACTAAGAGAGGCATCTTGGAGGAAGACGTCCTTCCACTGGACATAGAAAATCTAACTGAAGATTCATCACTTAGTGGAAAGGAGCTTCTCACCACTTGGGGAAAGCAGGAATTGTGTCCCAACATAAAGGACTGGGGAAGATGCTGATGGACACCAAGGTCCTTCAAGGTCTTCTACTAGATGAGGAAGCAAGCGGCTTACCAAAGGAGGACACATTCCCATAATTCTCCATCATGACTTCCTTGTACAAGACCCGTTGGTCAGGATCCAGCAGGGTTCCCTGCGCCTCCGTGAAATACACGGCCACATCCTCAAAGGTCATCCTCAAAGATCTCTGCAACAAGAAGGAGCCCTCAGTCTCTGCTACCAAGAAGCCATCTCACCAGCTTGGTCCCATGCAGCAGGTGAGAGCAGGTGCCCTCCAAAGGGAATCCTCCTTTTACCAAACAGGGTGTATTTCCTCCTCCCTCAGTTCCTTTCACTGGGGAGAAGGAGCTTCCATGGGACTCCTGTTTCCAAGACTGTGGAGATCATGGACCGACCCTGTCTCTCTGAATATAAGGAAAAAGACAGAAGCGGTCCTTTTAGCATGGGGGTAATTTCGGCCGAGCGCTGAAGAATAGATTCTTTTGAACTATGGTGCTGGAGAAGACTCTTGAGAGTCCCTTGGACTGCAAGAAGATCAAATCAGTCAATCCTAAAAGAAATCAACCCTGACTGTTCCCTGGAAGGCCAGATAATGAAACTGAAGCTCAAATACTTTGGCCACCAAATGAGAAGGGAGCACTCACTGGAGAAGACCCTGATGCTGGGAAAGATTGAAGGGCAAAGAAGACGGGGACGGCAAAGGATGAGATGGTTAGACAGTGTCATCGATGCAACGAACATGAAATTGAGCCAACTTCAGAGGACGGCGGAAAACAGGAGGGCCTGGCGGGAGCTGGTCCATGGGGTCGTGAAGAGTCGGACTCGACTGTGCGACTGAACAACAACAACAAATTTCCCTACCTGAGCTGGCTCTTCTGAAGCCATTTTCCTTCCACAGGAAGGTACGATGCAGGACAAACGATGGATGTCACTCTGCACTCTGTCAGAATAAAGAAAGCAAAAGGAATGTGTGAGGAAGGCCCCTTACGCCCCCGTCTTGAAATGTCTGAAGAGAATACAAGAGGAAATCAGGGATCTGAAAAGACACAAGATTTGTCAGAAAAAGGGAGCAGAGGATCTGTAGACAAGAAATACTGAAACGGGGAATCATGGACCAAACTGTACAGGAACATCTCAAGTTGCTTTGGGAATCTCTCACTTCAAACTCTGCACTGGGAAGTCAGAACTACTGAACGTAAGAACATAAGAACATAAGAGACGCCAATGTTGGATCAGGCCAAAGGCCCATCAAGTCCAACACTCTGTGTCACACAGTGGCCAGAAATACCAGTGCCATCAGGAGGTCCACCAGTGGGGCCAGGACATTAGAAGCCCTCCCACTGTTGCCCCCCCCAAGCACCAAGAAGACAGAGCATCACTTGCCCCAGAGCCCCTATCTATACCTTGTGGCTAATAGCCACTGATGGACCTGAAAGAGGATCTCCGAAAATACTGGACACACACTTGTGCCATGTTCTTTGATTTACTGTTATAAATGCTCAAATATTGGGACAGGCACCCTATTTTAAAATTAAAACTAAAAATGCAAGGTTTTTTTTTAAAAAAATATTTTTTGGGATAAACCTTTAGAATATTGGCTTGGATCCTGTGAACAAGTTCCTAGATTTCCTGTAAAGCTGGTTTTAATGTTTTTGATTTTTTTACTGCTTTGGGGACCCTATGCTGGGTGGAAAGGCAGCATAAAAATGTATTAAATAAACAAATATAATAAATACCAGGGTGGGGTGGATCAACTATTGTTATTCGGAAACTATTAAGTAAAATGCACACCAGCAACAACCATACGCTTCTTCTCAGAGCAAGTTTGCTGGAAAGGTTAAGGTTGCCCTGGCCAATAAGAAGACAAATTAACACCCAAATAGTTCATATTGGCTACTACAAACCGGGTTTGATTCCCCACTCCTCTACTTGCACCTGCTGGATGACCTTGGGCAAGCCATAGTTCTGTCAGAGGTGTTCTTGAAAAAGAGCAGTTTCTGTCAGAGCTCTCTCAGGCAGCCCCACCTACTTCACAGGGTGTCTGTTGTGGGGAGGGGAAGGGAAAGGAGTTTGTCAGCCACTCTGAGACTCCTTCGGGTAGTGAAGGGCGGGGTATAAATCTAATCTCTTCTTCTTCCTTTCTGATCTTGTCC